AATTATTTCAGATCTACAGGAGTGCAAGTTTCACCATGGCATGAACCGTGGCGATACATTGGCACATGAGAATTATTAGAATATGGCAAATATTTGTATATTATTGCATTCTATACATGGTGGCTTTCGCTGGCTACCTGAGATGAAGATGGATGGGAGGGCAGAGAAGCTGTCGCCAATTTAATAATTCCCAATTTCCCTAAATGGGTAATGGAAACACTTCAACCACTACACTTTTATTCGACACTAGGTTTTTGCGAAAAAGTATCAATTTTAGGTGACGTCATTACGTTCAGCCGTTTTATCGACACAAGATAGTTAAATGGTAACGCACCCTAGCAGGCAATTGTCGCATCTAAGTTGATGGAAACATAGCTACTGACACATGATCTTCTTCGGTAGCCTATATAGTTGTCTATTCAGACAATTTGTTTAATTCAGCTCAGTCTTCGTGTGGAATTGCTAGTAAAGTATATCGCCAAAACTTATCTCGCTGTCAGTGTCATTGGCTTACAGTATATGGGATGTGTTACAATGTGGCAACGGGTAGTAGAGTACAGCAACTAGTGATGTCATGTTACATTAGGTCAAAGGCTGGCGCGAGGTGTAGCCTACATCTGAAACTATGTTGCTAGAAATAGACGTAGCTGCAGGGAACACTACTTTGCAAAAGGTTAGGCTACCAAGCGCTGTTAGCACGATAGAAAACAGAAGTTGAAAGTGCCATGCCACCATAGCCATCCAAAACTATCGAAAAGACAGACGGGGTTCTTTATCGTACAAGCGCTGTGACAATATGTGGGTAAGTGTAAATGACAAAACACACATAACCATGGCAAAACAAACAAGAAATACAGTAGTACTATATTATAAGAAGTCGCCAACAAACCTCCCATTGTGTGGAGTCCCTTCTGTCCTTTGAGTGGCCCCTCCCTCCTCGAGACCATCAACACGACATCACCGCAAGGAGCGGTTATAACTTTCCCCGGAAATGCCTGATACAATGTGTAGAAAATGTATCGTATTTTAGACCGACAGCAGTACATTGAATAGGAACTATGAAGTAGCCTACTGTATCAATTCTGTCATTGATTTTATTGAACGTTGAATTGAATTAACATCCATATTATTTATAAAAAAATATTTTTTAAAGGAATTTGTTATAATTTGATCTCGTTTGATTTACAGTAGGCCTCAATTTCCCAATAGGACTAATTTTAGGCCTATGCTATTATAGCTATATTTTTTGACTAATGCATGTTGGAAAACTTCCTAAATGGATGCACAGACTATTTTAGAGGGAGACATTGAATTACTGAAGCAGAAATAGGCTTAGATAGGATCAATATATATTTTTTAATAACCCCAACAACACCACATTAAGTCTGAAGTTAAGTTTATTTGGCCATGAGGCAGACCTTTAGGCAGAATAACAGTAACTATGAAGCATGCACCTTGGCAGTGCAACATCATTATCATCACACAGGTTGGTAGGCTACTGGCTTCTATTGAGCGTTCCACTGCTTAGACGTTGCCAGATCTTACAACGCCTGGATAGGCATTTTACCCATCAGCTAACCACATAATTATGTTATAGCAATCTGTCAGTCGATGACATGGCACGCAACCATTCCTTGATCCATGCAACGAACCAAGCAGTGCAACGCGACCACCATCTCCACCCAAAGTCCTTTGAAGATGACATTGGAAAATGACATCAATATGGTATCAATATGCCACTAAACATAATCCACATTATTGACAATACCAACATACAACATGACATTGTTTAAAATAAATACAAACAAGTGAAGTTATTTAGTTAAAAGATAAACTCAAATAGGATCAAGATTGTGAGTAAGAAGTAGTAAAACGTAACAATAGCATCAGCAAACAGACAGCGTTTTTATTCCGTATTTCCATACAGATACTGTGTTGAAATTGCACTTGTAAAAAAAAAAGAGAACCCTAAATGTAACTTTTATTGCATCAACAAACCTGTGAATGAAATGGCACTGCAGAAGTGTTGATGACTTAACTTCTTCTGTTTGCTGAAGTCACAACAACTCTTTTAGAGGACATAAAAAGTGTTCATAAAATTGCATTAAAACAGACAAAAAAATGATCCTCCATACTTGTCAATACTATATTGACATTGCCTGACCTTTGCCATACAAAGCTAGAGTATAAATAAGTATATGCATTAGTAATCTCTCAATCAGTTACTGTTGTAAATGCTTTGAACCACTATTAACTCGGCAGACAAAGTTAACAGTTATAGGATCAAAACGTTTAAAATAAGGTTTTTCGTTATAATAATAATAATAGCACCTAAAATTGCAATTCTGCATGTTTGCAGGATCACAGAATCACTTCAAAGAATTCACCACAGTTCCTATTATTTTCCTCAATCTGTTAATGACAGGGGTCAAAACCTCTCACCCCAATTCCTTCTCAAAGACATAGAAAACATAAGAAAACTAAATCTAGCTTCTCTTTTGTGGACAGAAAGGCACTACTAGTCAAAACTAAGACCAGAAGGTAGAAGAATAAGGCACCAAAAAGCCTTCTTGAACATCCTGCTCTCTCTGGTTAACTTTTTAGAAGCACAGGTGTAAATAATAATTTGTTCTTAATTGACTCGCCTGGATAAATAAAGGTTAAATAAAAAAATCAAAATACATGTGACAATCAAGATTTCCATCCATGTTCTTGCAGAGAACTTACGTTAGCCTGGGAGTCCCACTGAATATTGACCCCAGGGAAAACTGTAGCAAGTCACTTTAGTTCCTATGACTTTCCTGCCTCTGATCTTTCCCTACAAATAAATATAAATCAACACAGGTTTGCTCTCCATGGAAATTCTATTATGAATGCTCCAATTATCAACAATTATTAAATGCAACAAAAAGCTTATGAACATCTCACACGTTCACTGAGTTACAAGCAAAAAAAAGATAAATAAAAATACATTAAAAGTGCGCTGTCATTCGGGTAGCCGATTAAACTAAACTCCACGATTTACCATCGTAAATCGTGGAGTTGAGTTTCGTCGGCTATCATCGGGGAAAAGACAGAGTTCTAATATTATAGTGGTGGACAATGTGGGATGCATGACTGGATCACAATGAGGGTCATACTGTCGGTCATACCCATAGAAATAGACCTCTATGGTCATCATACCCATGAGACTTTCTTGTTTCCTGTAGCCGCACAGAGGGACCAAGCCCCTGGGGGATTTCACGTGTGTCTGTAGGGGTCTGGAGCATGTGTGTGTGTGTGTGTGTGTCAGAGGATGTGAGTGGAGTTGAGCAAGTCGCGGAGCGTGGAGTGACTTCCTAAAATGTGTTGGCCTTCTATCCCACCTCAATGTGGCTCCGGTGCTGCTCAGCCACAAGCTCAGCCACAAGCTCAGCCACAAGCTCAGCCACAAGCTCTGGCCAGCATTTTCCATTTCCTTCATTATGGCCTATTCTGTTGTATTTATTTAGACTACCCCACCACTAATGCTAAGACATATGAGTACATAATGGAACATAGTCACAAAAGTAGATGGGCTGTTTGTTAAATTATCCTTTTAAACAGAAAATGAACGGAGCGAATTTTGGAGTGGCAGAAGACTGCTCCGTGAGCAATGAGTGGGATTTCCGACCGACCGCTCAACTCCACTCACATACTCTGGTGTGTGTTTGCACTCAGAAACAAAGTCCTTGCACTACAGCAGTGTATGTCTCTGACATGGGTCTCAGGCCACGGGTGGATACTGAAGTAATCATCGGCAAGGTGACTGTCAACGTTTGAAGGACACTGGGCTTGATTAAATTACTGTAAAATGGAGAGAAAATAAAATTACATTAAAATCTGAGATTTTGATTACCATATGGTCAGCCTTGATTTGATAAAGTCATTACCTATGTTAGGCATGGTAAGGTGGGGGAGTCAGTGGGGTTAGGATGGTAAGGGTTAGTCGTGCACAGTGCAGTCTTGGCTGACCATGATGCAGCTGGCTGCAGGAAGCAGAAGACTCACAAGTATGGTACTCAACATGCAGGTTAGGGATGATCATGAGTTATGAGGTAATGTAAGTTACACCAGCATACAGGTCTCTAGTGACAGGTAGGAGAAGATTAGGTGGATGGGGCAGACAGATGGATGACTGGATGAGGGTTATAAGAGGAGGAGGTACGGAACATTTTCACTCAGTCTTCACCTTACTCTGAAAATCCTCACTAAACATTTCAAAACCACCAGGCTAATTTCACACAAAACTAGATCCATATATCATTTTAAAATGCTTATTCCTGAATTAGGGTTTGTAACTAACCCTCATTTAGAAATGCTCTACTATTTGTCTTTATAACGAACATTGCTCTACAATCTCTATTACATTATGTGCCAGGGAACTTGATCTGTAAACCGAATGTGCCACATCACACATCACAGTTATCACTTTGTGCTACCACAGCAAAAGTGATATCACAAGTGCTTAGCCACAGTGCTCTTTTATTTAGCAGCTACAGTACATTTCATTGCACTGTTTTAATGGTCCCTGAATGGTGTGGACCAGACGGAAGCAGCAGAGGTCTTTCTGCAGCCTGCACTGCTGCCTGTCTGACGGACAGTTCTAAGATTACGCAGTTACACTTTACTCAAAGCCTTCGTCAAAAGAGCTACATTACACTGTCATTAACATGAAATAGCATAGTCATAACAGATTATGTTATGTACACACTCCTGCTCTGAACTCTGACTGTAAATTCTACAACCTTGCCAACATTCTGCCACTCCGTGAGCATTACTAGCAGAATAGGTATGCCTGAGCCAAGCTAGCATCATGCCATGCTGGATATGAACACATAGCCATCACATAGTAGTAGATACATGCACACCGTTAGCCACCACTGTCATAGTTACAGCAACAGCCTTGACAGAACCATGCCGGTGAAGCTCAGCAGTGCAAAGCGTGATGAGAGGTTAGAGGTTATGATGGAGGTTAGAGTTCAAATGTCACAGTAGATCTTGTACTTCTCGCTGCAGAGGACCACAGGGCCTCCCAGGATGCCGCTGGGCACGGGGAGGACCCTGCAGCAGCGTCTCTGACTTACGTGATGAGTGGCCGAGGTCCCTTTGCCCCGTGACGACGAGGAGGTTCTGACCCGCCCGCTCGCCGCCGCTCCCCCGCCGCGGCGCGCCTGCTCATGGTCGAACTCCAGGTCCTCCAGACGTTGGGTCAGGGCCAGCTTCTGCTGGATGGCCATGCGGAGCAGGGAGTTCAGGGTCTTCTTCTCGTCCTCCGCTGCAGCCAGCTGCCTCTGCATGTCATCAAGCTGGGTCACATACTCATCACACCTGAGAGGGTGAGAGAGGTGGGGGGCAGGGAGAGAGAGGGGAAGGGAAGAGAGGGGAAAGAGAGAAAGAGGGTGGAGATGGAGAGAGAGAGAGAGCGGAGGGAAAGCGAGGAAGAGAGAGGGCAAGAGAAAAAGGGATAATATTAGTCAAATGAAAACCCAATAAGGAACTTATAACTTTCCCCACCAGATGGAGCACATCTATTCCTGCTAACAAGTCAGTGCATGTTTTCTCCATTCAGACTCACAGAGCCGCATTATCCAGATGCTGTCAGGAGGAGCTTGCCAGCAGCCTCTGAATCGCCTCAGTATTACATCAGACAGCTCCCACAATGCCCTGTCTCTTCCACACACATGCAGCAGAGACGGAAGAGGAAGCGAGACACTCCACTCGCCTTTTTTAAAGTTGTTTTTTTCTGGTTCGATGAAAGTCAATGAACTAAGTAGACCAGACCCAGCTGCTATTGCATTGGTGTCTATGGGAGAAACACCCCAGTTAAGCAGACCGGAACTGACCATTTTTTTCATTGGTAAACTGCCTGAGTGAACCATCTCCATTTATCCACCATTTTTGCATGCAGCCTCTGGCAGAAACACAGCTCCTCACTCCTCAACAACCTAGAAGCTCATTCAGGCCGGCATTATGGGCGGGTCTTAGGGAGCCTGGTACCGCCTACTGTACCTCCTTGCCCTTCCAAATAAAATATAGAAATATAGATAATTTATTTGACCGAGATGTGCGCCGACAGAAAGACGCATTCATCTCAGATAAAGCATCCGAGCGAGTGAAACAGCGCCCCTCTGTCTCAGTGCCTTCGGAAAGTATTCAGACCCCTTGACTTTTTCTAAAATGGGTTAAATAAAAAAAATCCTCAGCAATCTACACACAATACCACATAATGACAAAGCGAAAACAGGTTGAGAAATGTTTGCTAATTTATTACAAATAAAAAACAGAAATACGTTATTTACATAAGTATTCAGACCCTTTGCTATGAAACTCGAAATTGAGCTCAGATGTATCCTTGAGATGTTTCTACAACTTGATTGGAGTCCACCTGTGGTAAATTCAATTGATTGGACATGATTTGGAAAGGCACACACCTTGACAGGTCCCACAGTTGACAGTGCATGTCAGAGCAAAAACCAAGCCATGAGGTCGAAGGAATTGTCTGTAGAGCTCCAGAGACAGGATTGTGTCGAGACACAGATCTGGGGAAGGGTAGCAAAACATTTCTGAAGCATTGAAGGTCCCCAAGAACACAGTGGCCTCCAACATTCTTAAATGGAAGAAGTTTGGAACCACCAAGACTCTTCCTAGAGCTGGCCGCCTGGCCAAACTGAGCAATATGGGGAGAAGGGCCTTGGTCAGGGAGGTGACATCTGTGGAGATGGGAGAACCTTCCAGAAGGACAACCATCTCTGCAGCACTTCACCAATTAGGCCTTTATGGTAGAGGCCAGACGAAAGCCATTCTTCAGTAAAAGGCACATGACAGCCCGCTTGGAGTTTGCAAAAAGGCACTCAGACCATGAGAAACAAGATTATTTGGTCTGATGAAACCAAGATTGAACTTTTTGGCCTGAATGCCAAGCTTCACATCTGGAGGAAACCTGGCAGCATCATGCTGTGGGGATGTTTTTCATTAGCAAGGACTGGGAGACTAGTCAGGATTGAGGCAAAGATGAACGGAGCAAAGTACAGAGAGATCCTTGATGAAAACCTGCTCCAGAGCGCTCAGGACCTCAGACTGGTGTGAAAGTTCACCTTCCAACAGGACAACAACCCTAAGCACACAGCCAAGACCACGCAGGAGTGGCTTCGGGACAAATCTCTGAATGTCGTTGAGTGGCCCAGCCAGAGCCCTGGACTTGAACCCGATCGAACATCTCTGGAGAGACCTGAAAATAGCTGTGCAGCGATGCTCCCCATCCAACCTGACAGAGCTTGAGAGGATCAGCAGAGAAGAATACAGGTGTGCCAACAAAGTACCGAGTAAAGGGTCTGAATACTTATGTAAATGTGATATTTCAGTTTCTTATTTTTAATAAATTAGCAAAAATTTCAAACAAATGTTTTTTGCTTTATCATTATAGGGTATTGTGTGTAGATTGATGAGGGGGAAAAAAACATTTAATCCATTTTAGAACAAGGCTGTAACGTAACAAAATGTGGAAAAAGTCAAGGGGTCTGAATACTTTCCAAAGGCACTGTATGTAGACCATGTATCTGATGCTTTCCGGACCCACCCAAAAAAAAAAGAGTATGGCATGTCATACTATTTCTGTCCAGACAGCATCAGATACATGGGCTACATAGTAAGACAGAAGGGCGCTGTTTCGCTCGTATGCATTCTTCGGTGAGATAGTTTCAGCAAAGAGGAAGAGGCGAAGCGAGAGGGCCCACTCTGGCCAAAATCTGTCCAGAATAAGTCCAATGCGTTTCTATGGGCTTAATATGCATACCTAAGTTTGTCGCCTGCCTTCCCGCCTTTGGGAAAACAACTCCCATTGTTAGGGTGGAGACATAAGCATCTCATCATTTTATACAGATCTCTGGTTTCAGCCACACGAATTGGGAAAGGTAAGTTGGCGGGTGCACAGTCGGATGCTGGCTTCCACCTAAAGTAAACTGATGTTTTGCCAAAATTATAGAATTACTCCTGTTTAAATAAAATCATTCAAAATACTTCACCAGGGAGCATGACTTAGTCATAGAGGATCATTAGCTTATTTTAAAAAATAGATGTGGATTGTTTCAAATCCAAAGCGTGTAGGCCTATATGCCTAGTTGGGAAGCCCGCAATTTGGGCAGTGAGCGTGGCAACAGGCCTAGCTGATTGTTGAGTTGCGGCTGTCAGTGAAAAGCATCTAAAATATGTGTGAAGATAATGTGTCTTGAGTATAATTTAAAATGTTGAGACAAGAAGAAGGGGAGGGGCGTGTGGCAAAGATATGGCGCGTCTCTCTCCAGAATGCTCTCAGCTGTCTCCTGCCAATTCTTGCGCATTCATTGTTTAATTGTGTGAATTGTTTGCCCTTTGATTGTTTTTTGTATCAACTCCCCATTACATATGTTACCAGTAGGCCTAGTAAATGTCCCATTAATCCCCATCATTTAGTTACAATAATTGATGTTAATGCATGTATTAATTAGTAATTTACCGTTCTCATTCTCAGAGTGGGAACGTTGTTTGTAGAGTTCAAAACCTGCTACACTTGTGAGAAACAAGTTTTGGTTTATTTCATAAGCATCATTTACGAGTTTAGAAAATTTTTCCATTGTCTTTTGTTTGGAGTGCTCCATGTCAGCATGTGTCTGGTTTCTCTTTCCTGATCATGTTGAGGGAACGCGCATGCCTGAGCACGCATAGAAGTACCTGGCCTGCTGGGTGCAAATGTAGGAAATTGCCAATTTGGGGATGTCTGGTTTTTGATTGTCTTAACTCCCCACGTCCAGCACTAATACGCTGAGCTCCTCAGTCATTTTTTCTTCACCTCACACAGTAAGTCAACAACGTCGTTTTTTTTCAACAGCCATTGCGAATGATAATAGTTCCTCACAGTATTTGAAAAATCTTTCAAACACTCTCCCGGCCTCGATAATCACCAAGCTTCGGTGTAAAAGAGCAAAATATAATGATCTGATGATCCCATATATTAAGTGGAAAGATGAAAAAACAGTTGTCCGTCCCAAGCTCACTGGCGAGGGAAACTCTGAGGGCCCGTAATAGGCTAGTTAATACAATGTTGCAAGTTTGCTAGAGACAGCTTCGTACCAAGTTGATTGATTTGATAGGTTGCACTTCACTAGCGATAAATCAAGTCAAGTCAGATAGAAAGGAAAGCAGACACGCGGAGTAGAGAGATGAATGCGAATGAAAGAACCTGAATTTTCATCAGGATATTTTCTACTGTTTTCATTTGTCGGCTTTAGGCTTATGTATTTTACTTGTTGATGATGGAAGTTATAGGCCTACTGCTACATTGGCGATAGGCTACCTCTGAGTTACATGCAAAAATTTTTTTTGCTGCCAATGGATCACGGTGGATCAGGCTGGTGCTCTCGCATTAGTTTGACATTTTATCATTTTAATTCAGATTTTTATGATTAACAACATGCCAATAATTTTGACGTTATTGTTGAACAAAACTGTTCCACGAAAATGTGCATATAAAAATAATCATAACTGGCACGCAGATCATTAGAAATGGTAGTATAAATTGTAAGCTTCCCCGAACTTGAAACTTAAGTCCCGCCCATGGTCTTTACACCTATAATAATAAATAAATATATTAACGTGCCCCCCTATGGAAATCAAATGCCTGTACAACTGATTTGTTCTGGCGCCGGCCCTGAGCTCATTGGTGCCGCTCGCACATCTAGCTAAAAGGGACCAATCTGTGCTGTTCTTTTTCGCTTTGATTTTCTAAGTAGTTCAAGAGGCAGGAAATGGATCATATGGAATAATAGCTCACTATAATAGAGATATAAAATAGGTTTTAATTTGTGTTTTAATTATAGTTTTAACCTTGGTAAAAAATTACAATTCAGAATTTCTGATTAAAACTATTTATTTGTACTGAATTCCAATTCAGTACATACAATTAATTTGTAGACCTACCCCTTGTTTGTATATGATGATATTCTCAACTCAACATTTACCATATTGATTAAGGTGCCAAAAGTGCCTCATTTCTTAGTGTATTAAAAACCTCTTAAACCTAAAAACCTTTTTGAGCGGTTCAGGACCGGTTCCGACTGACATCTGTGTACAGAGTGCTCTGAACCGTTCAACATCAATTGCTGTGAACACTCCGGTTGTCCCTTTTCACATGCCGCTCTCCGCTCTTATCTGAGATGCAGTAGGTTAAACGTACATTTGCATAGGAAGCAACACGTCACATTTTCTGGCCGATTTACTCTGCCTGTGAACCTCGCAGCTCCACTTACAATACGGCAGGGATCATCAACTGCAGACCGATTTTTTCTTGAGCGGATGGTCAGGGGGCCGGAACATAATTACAAATAATTTATAGACTGCAAATTGACCGAAAGAAGCCCAAACAGATGACTAAAACATAATCACTTCAAACCTTGCTTACATTTGTATACAATTACATACAGTATATATATATATATATATATATATATATATATATATATATATATATATATATTATGCGTGGTAATACTTTGGAACAGATTTCCAAAATTAAAATCACTTGGAGCTGATTTGCTGGTGTTTTTACAGTCATTTATGTCCAACATTAGTTTTTTAAATCTTGTTTTTTTGGGGGGGGGGGGGTGGGCTCAGAACAATTGGGGGGGCGGCGGCAAATAAAATGGGGAACCCTGCATGCGATACGGCATATGAAACGGGAGACCCTAGCGATTGCAGGAAAATGAGTCATCTCACTGTGATGTTTTCAGATGAATTTAGAGCTCTCAACATGAAAGAATACTATATAATTTAACATAATTGAAACAAGACCACTTCCTCTTGGTCACAGAGGGGCGAAATCACTTTGTGCATAAAGCTGAAGTTGTAACGAGTCAGCAGGCATTTGAATGGCGTCTCTGAGTCTCTCAGAGGAAGCTGGGCAGAAAATGCTCTGTCGTCAGTTATATGAAATTGTGCCAGTATGATCATATTTATTTTACAGTTATAAGAAAGGTGAAATATTATATATTACATGGAAAGTATTTAAATAATTTAAAGCCCTATTCCCCCACATTAGTTGAATTGGAAAAACTTTTGGGTATGTGTATTTAGGTTGGAATCGACATTTTGACATTACATTTAAGAGCAGACTTCTCATAACTTACACGTACCGATAAGCTCTTAGCGTATCTCTACTAAGCCTTACCTTGTAGCGAACATGGCCCGTAGTGAGGTGAAGGTGGCAGCGTCCTCTTTCAGGCCCTTGAGCTCGTTGCGGAGCTTCAATATGGTCTCGGTCACCATGGTCTTCTCATTGTCATATTTACTCTTCAGGTTGGCCAGCGCCACCTCAGCCGTCTACAGAGTAGAGTAGAGTAGAGTAGAATACTTTATTGTCCATTTTATTAGAATGGAGGGCGGGGGTCACAGTCACAGGATTAGTATGACCTTATGCTAATATTAACTCTGAACTTCTACACAAAAAGTAAATACTCTCAACTACTGTTAATTTCATACCGTATCACCTCCACTTTTAAACAGTATCAACTGCTCATGTTTTTCAGAAAATTCACACATGCACACACCTGTTTATTGGCCTTGAGCACGGTCCTCAGGGTGGCGATCTGCTCTCTCTTGGTGCTGAGCAGAGACTTGAGTTTGAGGATTTCCCCCATGCAGGCCTCCTTGTCCTTATCGGTCACAGTACCCAGCTCCATGGAGGCCATCCTCTGGCGGCTCAGCTCTGTGGTGCGGTCCACCGCCTGCTGCAGGTGACGGATCTGGTCCCTGATGATGGCAACTAGGTTATAGATGTTCATGGGCTCTGAACGGGACTCTGGGATTGGGGCTGGGACTGGGGTGGCTGGGTCACTTGGTTCAGATTTACTTGGTTCAGTTTCAGGAACCAGCCCATTGGAGAGCAGAACATGGGACAGATGTTGCCCCTTCCCCTGTCGGCCGCCTCTGCCCCCTATACTGGCCTTGCCCTCCTTGTAGTAGTCGAGCATGACCCGGTTGGGCGTCTCGTTGTTGCACATGCACACATGGTTATAGAGGTTGGCCAGCTCCTCGCTGAACGTCACCAGTTCGTCCTGCGCCACGTTCAGGCTTCCCTGCGACTCGCCAACCGCTTCACTCACTCGCCGCAGCTCCTTCTCCAGCCTCGCCACCTCCTCGTGCTCCGCCCGGCTGCTCTTCTCTAGGAAGGCCAGCTTTTCGCTCAGCCCTGCCACATCGCTCTCCAGGCGGACTCGCTCTTCTTCGTACTGGCTCCGGCATGACTGGTACTCGGCTTTAAGAGTCTTCAGCTCCTGTCTGAGCTCCCCGGCTTCTGACACAGCGACGGTGTACTTACACTGCAGGATCTCAGGCCCGTTGATGTCCAACTCGTAGTAGTCCCCGTCACCGTCATCGTGGCTGTCTCGCTCTTTCTCGCTGTCCAGGGCCGAGTGGCGCTCCTTGCTGGCCTGGAGTTTCCTCATGGCACTGAGGTTCTCGGTGAGGCGTCCCACCGTCTCCTGCTGCTCTGACAGAGTCCCGTGGGCCACCTCCAGCTGCTTCTGGGCCTCCTGCAGAGAGGAGAGGAGCGCCACCTTCTCTCGCTCCACCTGGAGAACACAGACATGGGACACAGTCACATAACAGCACTGAGAAATGTCTGCAACACTTTATGTTACAGTCCTATTTCAGCTTGGTGTTTATTAGTATTGATTGAGAAATTAAGTAACAATTATATATTTACATATGTTTTTCTTTTTTCTTCTTCTTTTTTTCCTATGTAAATACCAGGTAAATAGTTGGCTCTAAATGAAGTGTAATCCAAAACGCCATATGTGGTGTGAGATACTGTAGTGTGAGACACTGTCACTCAAGAATTTCACACAGTATTTATTCACCAGCAAGTCAACAGTGCGTGTATAAGAGAAGTAGCCTAGTCATTCCATGTAGCCCATGAAGTCCCACATAGGGCTCCATTGATTAGTCTTTGACTAGGTCACTAAGGTCAGTATAGGTAATCAATATCCCTAAATGGATGAACACTGTGTTCCAAAATGCTTAATGGACTTTCAAGCCATAAGGCAGAGGACTGTTCACAGCTGCAGAAGCGATGTAAGCCTATCTATTTTCCAGGCAACACTTACAAACACAGCTCAATAAGGCTAAGTATTACTTTATTGCTTTACCAGGGACGTTGACACCTTGACAGGGTGACTGTGAATAAAGCAAACAGGCTAACCATTTCTACAGTTCTGCCTGCTAAAGCTACTATGTGGTCATCTTACCTGCATGAGCTGCTGCTTGAGTTTCTGGATCTCTGAGATGTTGAGTTCACTCAGCAGGTCATCCACTAGGCTGGGGGCGGGCCGGAGTTTGGCTTTGTTATCCTCGTTGCCGTCGGCGGCCATCTTGGCCAGGCCGTTCTCGTAGCCGCGGAACGAGGCATCGTTGTTGGGCTCGTTGGTGGCAGCAGTGGGATCCTCGCTGAACTTGAGTCCGTCCAGGGAGATGTTGAGGGAACTGTGGTGGTATGGTAACAGGTTGTCCCCAATGGTCATGTAGTGGGACAGTTCTTTACGCAGGGCGGCCTTGTGCTCGCGCTCAGTCTTAATGGTCTCCAGAGCCTCGGTCAGCTGGCGCTCAGCGATCTCCCTCAGGCGCATGGCCTCCTCCAGCTGGCTGTGGAGGCACTGGGAGTCTTCCTCCAGGCAACGGATCTCATGCTTCAGACCCTCAAACTCCACCTAGAGATCACAGAGAAGCCACGGCACATCAGAGGAATCACTAACTAAATAGGGAGAATCCCCCTTACACTCAAAAGCATATTTTTGTCTCATCCCCTCAAGTTGGTCCTTGTATCAATAGCCTCATTCATTGGCCCTGGCTTTCGACTATCGAGCCTTGTCACTTTTTCACCCAAACATCTGAAGTGTATTGGCCAGTCTCTATAACTCTACAACCTTTACCTTTACCCATTACCCACAATAAGCCCTCATCCTCCCCTCATCTCCATACCCAACAGCGCCCATTTCGTCCCCTGCCCCAGCGGACTATCCTAGGCGGCAGGTAGTCTAGTGGTTAAGAGCGTCAGTAACCGAAAGGACGCTGGATCGAATCCCCGAGCCGACTAGGTGAAAAATCTGTAGATGTTCCCTTGACCAAGGCACATAACCCTAATCGCTCTGGATAAGAGCGTCGGCTAAATGACTAAAATGTTAAATGTATGCTCCCCGTCCCCTGCTGCAGCCCTGGTCCCTTCCTCTCACCTGGCTCTGTCGGAGCAGGGACACCTGTTTCTGCAGAGAGATGTTCTCATCCTCCAGCTCACTGTAGTCCTGCAGCAGACGTGCCTCCCGCACTTTATACTCTCTGATGTCATCATGCAGTTGGGTGCGCTGCAACTCCACCAGCTCAGAGCTCTACAGACACAGGGAAGAAATGGGTGAGAGAAGAAGCGAAAGAGGAAAAAGTCATGTCAGAGTACGATACAAGGACGTGTGGATTTGATCAGAATGCACTCCATGGTTGTACTGTATTGTCAAAGCAGCGGGTGTTTCTCAATATGCATACTCCGAAGTATCCAAGTGTGCGAAATGGAGCACAGAGGGCACTTCTTGGATGCGTACTCTGTTTGTACATATTTTGAAGTATGCATCATTGCGAGCTTCAATGGAAAGTATGCATAGAAATATGACTCAACCATGAAAAAAACTACACAAAATGTATTGAAATCAATGCCAGCCATTATTGTAGCTGAAGGGAGATAAAATAAACTGATTTAGGAATAAAATGTTGCCCATTAACATCTCATATGTTGTGTGACTAAAATATTTTATCTTGATACGTTAATAAATACATACTGTGTTAATTTTGGCATGTTTACCTGCCTCCACTACCCACTGTAGATCGCAAGCCCATGGTAAGTCAATAGGGCTAACTGGCTAGCTAGCTAGCCATGAAGAATTGGTAGCTAGCTACCCACGAAGAATTGACAGCTAGTCATCTACCTTACATAACATTAGTTTTTAGGTAATATTTGCCTGTTAAACTAGCTGGCTAGCTAGATTATTACGATTCACATATATCTAGCTGATCATTCTAAAGTAAAACGTTTGCTTTGTGTATATCTTGTTTCGTCTCTATTGCCATTGTCCTGGCTGGAAGAAGGTTCAGTGAATGGGGAGGTGCAGCGTGAAGTAATACAGTAGGGGGAGCGTGAGTGCTTCTCAAATTTAATATTTTATGCGTTCTCCACACAAGAACGTACTCAAGAGAACGTCTTCTGAGAATGCACTCAGAGCATGAGAGTGCGCAGCATAATAGTATGCATACTGAGAAACACCCAGCATCTTATGTGGCTGTATGCCAGTGGAACAGTGTTGAGATGAGATCTTGGCAGAAGTAATTAGGGAGGACCAAGATCCAGTTACCAGACTAGGCCATTGAGTGTGCGTGCTTACTAGTGGAGGACCTCCTTTACGCCACTCACTGAGGACTATTACATCATCAGTGTGACTGGTGCCAGCTGGCCAACCAATCCCCCTTACAAACTCATTACCAGTTTAAACCTCTTCCAGCCCCACTATCCCATTAGCTCTGACTTTCTCTCTCTGTCCCACTGTCTCTGTTTTACGTCATCATTACTGACTGAGTAAAATATTTGGTCCTCTTCGTCAGATTGGTGAGATACAAGAGTATTTCCACATTGAGGTTTGACCTCTCCACATTGACCATGTTTGTTTTGGACAGGTCCACCACCTTCCAGCTCACCTCTCTCATTTCCAGGGCGACGGCGGCCAGGCGCTCGTTCTCTGATTGGGTGCTGGTGAGGGCGGTCCTGGCCAACCGCAGCTCATTCTGCAGCTCCAAGACCATCTGCTGATAGTGGGCCTCCTTACTGGCTGACTCCAGCATCAGTGACTCCTCCCTGCTCTCTCCATCTGCAGCCACCTTCCTATGGTTGGAGTAGGCCTGACCGAACGCCTGGGGACAGGAGGAGAGAAAAATACATTGATTAATACCAGGACTGAAGTTGAACACCTTCCTAAGGGTGGAGTAGGTCTGATGAACGCCTGGGGACAGGTGGGGAGAAACACACATATGCATAGATTAGTACCAGGACTGAATAGTCATATGAGTACAACACTGGCAGGAGAAGGGTGGACATGGACCAGAACAAGTGCAGGACTCCAGTGAGCATGACCAGTTGTGAGCATCATGACTGGTTGAGAGTCATCAGCATCAGTGTTGGGATTCATTACTTGAAAAAGGAAATCTATTACTTGTTACATTTAACAAAAGTAATCACGTTACAATATTACTTTGCATGGAAAGTAATATTAGATATTACTCATTATATTACTTTTTTATGCTGTCCAATCAGCACAGAGCTTCACTATAGGCTATCAGATGAGCGAAGGTGTAGATGTTCCTTTAGTACTTCGTAATTTTCGCCATTGTTTGGTCGATTTTGTTTGACTTACATGAGTCCTTGATGATAAGTTATCCCTTTGATTATATGCCGTCTATTTCAATGCATTATTATATTTAGGATTTATCTGACAGTTTGCATTCGCGCCGCGGTCAGTTAATGCACCGGTTATTTAAATTTTGATATCGGCATTTGAAGTTGGCCTTGTTGTGACTTGATAGACGGTATTTAATTACGCATGTTTTGGAATATTTTTGTGTACAGGCTTCGTTCTTTTCACTCTGTCATTTAGGTTAATATTGTGGAGTAACTACAATGTTGTTGAGCCATCCTCAGTTTGATCATATCACAGTAACTTTGTAACTGTTTTAAAGTCACCATTGGCCACATGGTGAAATCCCTGAGCAGTTTCCTTCCTCTCCGGCAACTGAGTTAGGAAGGACGCCTGTATCTTTGTAGTGAATGGGTGTATTGATACGCCATCCAAAGTGTAAATAATAGCTTCACCATACTCCATTTTTACCTATCTACCAATAGGTGCCCTTCTTTGCGAGGCATTGGAAAACCTCCCTGGTCTTTGTGGTTGAATCTGTGTTTGAAATTCACTGCTTGACTGACGGACCTTACAGATAACTGTATGTGTGGGTACAGAGATGAGGTAGTCATTCAAAAACAGAGTGAGACTATGCAACTTATTATGGGACTTGTTAAACACATTTTTACTCCTGAACTTATTTAGACTTGCCATAACAAAAGAGGTGGAATACTTGTTGACTCAAGACATTTCAGGTTTTCATTTTTTATTAATTAAAAAAAAACCTCTAAAAACATAATTCCACTTTGACATTATGGGGTACTGTGTATAGGCCAGTGACACAAAATCTACATTCAATCCATTTTAAATTCAGGCTATAACACAACTAAATGTGGAAAAGGTCAAGGGGTGTGAATACTTTCTGAAGACACTGTACAACCTGGCTAACTAAACGACCTAGCTGTAGTGTCCAACACTATCAGTGTTGGAAACTAGCTAGAATATGGACCAATACTTTAATAGCAATATAGCTAGCTACTAATACAATAGCCCAACTTCTTGAATATTGTTTTGATGAGCTGGTTAGAATAAGGATGTCACTTGGTCAAATCATACTCTGTACCAAATGCATTGCCTATCAATAAACATCTTACAATGTATACATATCATGTAATTCTACTGTACTTTCCTTATTATTTACTTAGTATTATCAATCTTCATCCAGATATTACACTGTTGGTGTGTATGAGTACAAAATGACTAGTTAGCTTGTAGTCTCCAAACAATAACACCAGTGTTTCTGTAACAGAATGTGTATAATGTAATATAGCTAGGTTATAGCCAACACCAGTGTTTCTGTAACAGAATGTGTATAATGTAATATAGCTAGGTTATAGCCAACACCAGTGTTTCTGTAACAGAATGTGTATAATGTAATATAGCTAGGTTATAGCCAACACCAGTGTTTCTGTAACATAATGTGTATGATGTAATATAGCTAGGTTATAGCCAACACCAGTGTTTCTGTAACAGAATGTGTATAATGTAATATAGCTAGGTTATAGCCAACACCAGTGTTTCTGTAACAGAATGTGTATAATGTAATATAGCTAGGTTATAGCCAACACCAGTGTTTCTGTAACATAATGTGTATGATGTAATATAGCTAGGTTATAGCCAAGAGAGGAGGAAGTGGTGGCTTGTTAGAGCACAGACATAGTTCTAATTTCAGTGGTGCTCATGAGGACCCCCATAACAATTGAAATGTCAATGTGGCCCCCCTCATATTGTAACATTGGGAACACTCAGCAGTCAATATATGATAGTACCCTGAGCGCAGGAGTAGACTATAATTAACATGTGGTCTTTCTATACATTGTAATCATTTATTTTCCATTCCATTGTTTGCTCAGCTTGTAATTGTAGTTGGTTATGTAAACATTATCAGAACAGGCATTGAATGATAAACAGAACAAAACATGGACCCATTATATTATATATTTTTTAAACAATTTCATCCACACTTTGTCAATATTACAATATTGCTGCTTGCTCAGCCTCTGTCCTTGGTCTGCGTCACACAGACCGGGAGTCCTCAGTCCTGTAAGACACATGAAACACAAAGGCAGGTTGTTGAATTGTCATTATGTCTGTCATGGATCCGATCCATAGATGACCATTTTTCTGTTCTCAGTTTAGCCCAGAGAACTGAGAATCAGGCAGAGATTCTCTCTCTCTGTATACAGTCAAGACAGTGCTGTCGGGTTCCTACCCACTGTGTACATCAACACCCGGGTCAAGCCTCCCGTGATTGTCCAGCCTTGTTGTAGTCCTGACTCTACTTCACCTAGGTGGTGGTGGATTTTAGCAGGGTTGGACAATCATGGATGGTGACCTGATTAGCATTTTTTGGGAGAGAGATAATCCTCTCGTTCTCAGTCTTCTGGACGTGTGTGAGTTATGATGTTATTTACAGTGACATAGGCCTACCTTCACAATAAGCTACACAAATGAATGTGCACACTGCATTTTTCTGGACAAAATTCCATATGGCTGAATTGTTGTTGTCTGTTGACTCCTGAAACACAGACAGAAATGTGGAGTTAGTGAATAGTCACATTGTCTGCCTGTCATGGATCAATGTAGCCTATATTCTATGAACTTGACAACGACATACTCAATACATTCTCTGTGGAGAGGAAGGTGTCTGTCTGGTCATGGTTTCACTTCTGTGACCATGCAGAGCAGAGGGGGGCTGGGATGGGTAGCCTAACAGGAAATGGTATGTAGACAACTACAATATTAGTTTTCACATTTGGTGTCTGTTGGATAGGACAGAATGTTACTCTGCTAAACACAGAAGTGCAAAATTGAGGGATTAACTAATTTCACTAGCTACATACACCCAGTCTCTCAACTTTGAAATCAAGCTAGCTAATTAAAACATAATTATGTTTTGTCCTTACAACTTCACCTGACCTGTAGTTTGCACGTTTCGATATGACTTTGCAGCATTTTGTATAACTTTGGCCAGCAAGCACATTCCATCTGACAGCTAGGTTCATTACTGTAGAGACACCTTGCAGTTTTGGAGACAGCTTCGAGTTTGGTAACAAAAGTAAAAGGCGATGCGGTAGCATTAGTACTGGTAAAGCAGTGATTTACTCACTGAGCTATATATTAACTTACTTCATATGGATTTAGTTCACCGCAGTTACCTATGCCAAACTTGTATAGTTAGCGAGCAAATACTACTTGCTAGCTAGCTACACTCTTGCTGTAGCGACGTCGCGCACGTCTACAGACACTACGAGGTGTCCCAGATGTTTTGACATTTCACCTATCCACTTCATCAGAATAATATAGCTATTTTCTTACTCACCATTTCACCGGCGTCAGCCCATCCAATTGTCGAAGTGCATTTCGGACCGCAGTAAGTCACAGTAGCAAAAGGTTGTAAACAGGAAGCCCACGTGTTAACTCTAACATGTTTGTAGGCAGGTGGTTCCAAATTAACTAAAGCCAGCCCTATAACTGACACGTAAATCAGAAAGAACTTACACGCTACCTGGTGGATAACGGTACACCACAGGGGAGCGTGATTAGTCCTCTGTTGTTCTCAATCATGATCAATGATGTTTATTCTCAGGTACAGCCGGATATAGGGAGGTGGTTATTTGCAGATGATGGGGCCTTATGGAAGAGGGTAAGAAATGTGCCATACATAGTCAGGAAGGTACAGGAAGCAATTGATGAGGTAGAGTGGTGGGCATTCATGTGGGGATTCAGGTTCTCTGTAGAGAAAAATCAAACAGTGTTCTTTACCAGGAGGAAGGTGGGAGATGAGGTATGCTTGAGGTTATATAGGAGAAACTTGGAGAGGGTGGGGGCCTTCAGGTTCCTTGGGGTATACTTTCACACTAGACTGACCTGGGCAGAACACATTGAGAGAGTGGTGGGAAAGTGTAAGAAGGTGCTAAATGTGATGCGCTGTCTGACGGGGAAGGAGTGGGCGGCTGGGCGTTCCTCATTGAAGACCATGTACACTACCGTTCAAAAGTTTGGGGTCACTTAGAAAATCCATTTTTTTCGAAAGAAAAGCTAATTTTTTGTCCATTAAAATAACATCAAATTGATCAGAAATACAGTGTAGACATTGTTAATGTTGTAAATGGCTATTGTAGCTGGAAATGGCTGATTTTTTATGGAATATCTACATAGGCGGACAGAGGCCCATTATCAGCAACCATCAGTCCTGTGTTCCAATGGCACGTTGTGTTTGCTAATAACAAGTTTATAATTTTAAACGGCTAACTGATAATTAGAATCAATCAATCAATTTTATTTTATATAGCCCTTCTTACATCAGCTAATATCTCGAAGTGCTGTACAGAAACCCAGCCTAAAACCCCAAACAGCTAGTAATGCAGGTGTAGAAGCACGGTGGCTAGGAAAAACTCCCTAGAAAGGCAAAACCTAGGAAGAAACCTAGAGAGGAACCAGGCTATGAGGGGTGGCCAGTCCTCTTCTGGCTGTGCCGGGTGGAGATTATAACAGAACCATGCCAAGATGTTCAAAAATGTTCATAAGTGACAAGCATGGTCAAATAATAATCAGGAATAAATCTCAGTTGGCTTTTCATAGCCGATCATTAAGAGTTGAAAACAGCAGGTCTGGGACAGGTAGGGGTTCCATAACCGCAGGCAGAACAGTTGAAACTGGAATAGCAGCAAGGCCAGGCGGACTGGGGACAGCAAGGAGTCACCACGGCCGGTAGTCCCGACGTATGGTCCTAGGGCTCAGGTCTCTCAGTTGGCTTTTCATAGCCGATCATTAAGAGTTGAAAACAGCAGGTCTGGGACAGGTAGGGGTTTCGTAGCCGCAGGCAGAACAGTTGAAACTGGAATAGCAGCAAGGCCAGGCGGACTGGGGACAGCAAGGTGTCATCATGCCCGGTAGTCCTGACGTATGGTCCTAGGGCTCAGGTTCTCAGAGAGAAAGAGAGAACGAGAGAATTAGAGAGAGCATACTTAAATTCACACAGGACACTGGATAAGACAGGAGAAGTACTCCAGGTATAACCAACTAACCCCAGCCCCCCGACACATAAACTACTGCAGCATAAATACTGGAGGCTGAGACAGGAGCGGTCCGGAGACACTGTGGCCCCATCCGAAGAAACCCCCGGACAGGGCCAAACAGGAAGGATATAACCCCACCCACTCCGCCAAAGCACAGCCCCCGCACCACTAGAGGGATATCCCCAACCACCAACTTACAATCCTGAGACAAGGCCGAGTATAGCCCACAGAGGTCTCCACCACAGCACAAACCAAGGGGGGGGCGCCAACCCAGACAGGAAGATCACGTCAGTAACTCAACCCACTCAAGTGACGCACCCCTCCCAGGGACGGCATGAAAGAGCACCAGCAAGCCAGTGACTCAGCCCCTGCAACAGGGTTAGAGGCAGAGAACCCCAGTGGAGAGGGGAACCGGCCTGGCAGAGACAGCAAGGGCTGTTCGTTGCTCCAGCCTTTCCGTTCACCTTCACACTCCTGGGCCAGACTACACTCAATCATATGACCTACTGAAGAGATAAGTCTTCAGTAAAGACTTAAAGGTTGAGACCGAGTCTGCGTCTCTCACATGGGTAGGCAGACTGTTCCATAAAAATGGAGATCTATAGGAGAAAGCCCTGCCTCCCGCTGTTTGCTTAGAAATTCTAGGGACAATTAGGAGGCCTGCGTCTTGTGACCGTAGCGTACGTATTGGTATGTACGGCAGGACCAACTCGGAAAGATAGGTAGGAGCAAGCCCATGTAACGCTTTATAGGTTAACAGTAAAACCTTGAAATCAGCCCTTGCCTTAACAGGAAGCCAGTGTAGGGAAGCTAGCACTGGAGTAATATGATCAAATTTCTTGGTTCTAGTCAGGATTCTAGCAGCCGTATTTAGCACTAACTGAAGTTTATTTAGTGCTTTATCCGGGTAGCCGGAAAATAGAGCATTGCAGTAGTCTAACCTAGAAGTAACAAATGCATGGATTAATTTTTCTGCATCATTTTTGGACAGAAAATTTCTGATTTTTGCAATGTTACGTAGATGGAAAAAAGCTGTCCTTGAAACAGTCTTGATATGTTCGTCAAAAGAGAGATCAGGGTCAAGAGTAACGCCTAGGTCCTTCACAGTTTTATTTGAGACGACTTTACAACCATCAAGATTAATTGTCAGATTTAACAGAATATCTCTTTGTTTCTTGGGACCTAGAACAAGCAGCTGAAAACTTGTGCTGATTAAAGAAGCAATAAAACTGGCCTTCTTGAGACTAGTTGAGTATCTGGAGCATCAACAATTGTGGGTTCTTTTTCTGAGAAATGAAGGCTATTCCATGCGATACATTGCCAAGTAACTGAGGATCTCGTACAACGCTGTGTACTACTCCCTTCACAGAACAGCGCAAACTGGCTCTAACCAGAATAGAAAGAGGAGTGGGAGGCCCGGGTGCACAACTGAGCAAGAGGACAAATTCATTAGTGTCTAGTTTGAGAAACAGACGCCTCACAGGTCCTCAACTGGCAGCTTCATTAAATAGTACCCGCAAAACACCAGTCTCAACGTCAACAGTGAAGAGTCGACTCTGGGATGCTGACCTTCTAGGCAGAGTTGCAAAGAAAAAGCCATATCTCAGACTGGCCAATAAAAATAAAAGATTAAGATGGGCAAAATAACACAGACACTGGACAGAGGAAGATTGGAAAAAAGTGTTATGGACAGACAAATCGACGTTTGAGGTGTTCGGATCACAAAGAAGAACATTTGTGAGACGCAGACCAAATGAAAAGATGCTGGAGGAGTGCTTGATGCCATCTGTCAAGCATGCTGGAGGCAATGTGATGGTCTGGGGGTGCTTTGGTGGTGGTAAAGTGGGAGATTTGTACATGGTAAAAGGGATCTTGAAGAAGGAAGGCTATCACTCCATTTTGCAACGCCATGCCATACCCTGTGGACGGCGCTTGATTGGAGACCAATTTCCTCCTACAACAGGACAATGACCCAAAGCACAGCTCCAAACTATGCAATAACTATTTAGGGAAGAAGCAGTCAGCTGGTATTCTGTCTATAATGGAGTGGCCAGCACAGTCACCGGATCTCAACCCTATTGAGCTGTTGTGGGAGCAGCTTGACCGTATTCCTGAAGCACCTCCCACAAGTTGGATTGGCTTGATGGGCACTTCTTACGTACCGGTGAAATCTCTTCAGATTACCTCAACAAATTGACAACTAGAATGCCAAAGGTCTGCAAGGCTGTAATTGCTGCAAATGGAGGACTCTTTGACGAAAGCAAAGTTTGAAGATCAATTATTATTTCAATTAAAAATCATTATTTCTACCCTTATCAATGACTACATTTCATATTCATTTTTCATGGAAAACAAGGACATTTCTAAGTGACCCCAAACTTTTGAACGGTAGTGTATGTTGCATTGATCCGATCTGTAATAGACTATGGCAGTATAGCATATGGTTCGGCAGCCCGGACCTCATTGGAAAGATGTCATACAGGGGCAAGGACTCAGAATATGTAGTGGGGCGTTTCGGACGTCCCCAGTGGCTGCATTACAGGTGGAGATGGGGGATATGCCATTGCAGATTAGGAGACAGCAGCTGGCAATTAATTATTGGGTCAACCTACAAGAACATGGGGTGTCTCATCCTGCGAAAGGGATTTTACAGGCATGCTGGGAACATGAGCGAAGACAGAACACAAGCTTTGGGTGGGTGGGTAATACCCAGGCGAAGGAGATGGGACTGTATGGAAGGGAGTTTAGTCCAACGGTAGCCATTTCTGTAAATCCACCATGGCTACTCCCGCCTCCAGTAGTTGATCTAGAAGTGTTGGAGAGACTACAGAAAGATAGGGAGAGTGTTGATCCATCTGATTTGTTTAAGAGACGTCTGGATACTGTGTATCAGGATTTTGTGGCCATTTACACAGATGGTTGAAAAGATCCAAGGACAGGACGTACTGGGTCAGCATTTGTAGTGCAGGAATGTGGGGTGGAAGTCAGGAAACATATTACAGATCATCTGGCTGTATATACGGCGGAGCTGATAGCCATACTGTTGGCCTTGCAGTGGGTGGAGGAAGTCAAACAAGACAGAGTAGTTATTTGCTCTGATTCATGCACAGTGTTAATGAGTCTCCAGTCCTATAGCTCACATAGCAGACAATACCTACTTTATGAGGTGCTACAAACCCATGGCAGGATTAAACAGATGGGAATACAGACTTACTTGGGTCCCAGCCCATGTGGGGGTGGAGGGGAACGACTCAGTAGATGTACTGGCTAAACAAGCACTTAGTAGTGGGGATGTTGACGTTGA